GCATGCGCCATCCTGGATGGTGTCCTCACACAGGGGTGCACACATGCGCACACACACCGTCCTGGATCCCATCCTCGCACACATGCACACACGAGATGTGCTGGGTCACGTCCTTGCACACACACGCCGCCCTGGATCACGCCATGCACACGCACCTGTCCTGCTGGGAGGCATCCACACTGCTGCCGAGCTCCTCCAGCTCTTCCTTCAGCAGCTGCAGGTTGGAGTTGACGTAGCTCAGCTCCAGGGCAACCGTCTCTCTGACCCGGTTGTTGCTGGTGGCTCTGGGGGAGGCCAGGGAGCTCAGAAGCCTCAGCCCCAAGGCAGACCCAATGCCCCATGCCTGCCGCAGGCAGCCCTCCTGCCCTGTAGGACCTCTGGAGCCCACTCCCCAGAGGGATGTTTGCTTCTGGAACCAGCCCTCCATTGGTGGGGCGGGGGCAGCACTGGGGCCTGAGGGCCCACAAGGTGACTGCCCCTCCCCTCCAAATCCTCCCTCTCGACCCCTCCCCCTAGTGCAGGCAAGTCCTGGCTGTGGCCTGAGGTGCCTCTCTCAGAGGCAGGGCTCCTCCCAGGCTCACACACGCCCCACACAGACAGCAACTCAAATGACTGCTCGGGAGGTGGGGGACAGCCAGACCCCTCTCTGAGCCTGTATGCAGGGGCTAGACAGAGGGACCAGGGGTCCCCAAGGAAGGTTGGCTGGGTGCAGAGCGGCAGAGGGTGCTAAGGGAGATGAGGGGCCCCTGGTCCTGGAGTTCACCAGCAGGCTTTGCCTCTCCCTGGCTGTGGCACACGCACACTCGTGGTTAACATGCTCTAAGGAAGAGGCTGCCCCTCGGTCTGGAAGACCCTTTCCCAGGTCCCCAGCCTTGGGACACCTGGCCACCTGCCACAGCTCAGCCTCAAGCGCCTCTTCTGAGAAGCCCCGCTAGCCACCACATGCACTGTTGGAGGGTCCCAAACTCTGCACACACAGTGTGGGGGAGACCGATTCCCGGGCCCCTCCAGCCCCACACAGGGAGGCCCCTGGAGGCAGGGGCCTGGCCTGCTTTGTCTGTGAGGGCTGCAGCTGAGCACTGAAGTGTACTCTGTGGGCTCTGGGACCTGGGTGGGAGCCTGCGTCATGGCCACCTGCTCACCTGTCCATCTCCCCGACCAGCCCACAGGGCAGACACCCGCCCCCAGTGTGGGGCCCCATCACCACCCTCCGGGGCAGGTACCACTCCCGGGGTGGGATGGGGCCCTCACCTGTAGAGGTTCTCTGCACCTGTCCGCATCTGCAGTTCCTTGTTGATCTGCTGGTGGATCCGGGCCCTGCGGCTCTGCAGCCGGCCACGCTGCGTCTGCACCAGGGGGTCACAGCCCTGCAAGGAGGCCACAGGTGGTTGTGGCCCCAACCCCACAGAATCCCACCAGGCCACCGGGCTCACCGCGGGGTAGGGGGTGGTCACTATGGGCTGGAGTCAGACCCAGCCTCACAAGGAGCAGCTGGGCAGGCCTGGCCGTGAACATGGTAGGTGCCTGGCCAGAGCAGGTGATGCCGGAAGGAGGGGGCCGTGGGGGATGCCGCTGTGATGAGGCCGATCCGTGATGGGGCTCTGGATGAGGCTGGCACCTGCCAAGGGTGCCAGGTGCTCAGGCCTCACCAGGCAGCCTGGGCATGCAGTGGCCTCTTGGGAGCCTGGGTAGGAGGCAGCCACTCCTCATCATAATTCCAGGTCCTGCCACAACCCCCCACTGACTCTAGCACACGCATAGGTGAGGACAGGGCAATCCAGCCCTGCTCCCGCCCAGGCGCTAAAGGAAAAGCCCTGGGGGCTGCCACCTCCCCGCCAGGCAGCCGTGGGCCAGCGCGCACTGCTGACTTTGGAAATGGCTCTTGAAGAGAACTCACACCTTTGAGCTCACCATCCACAAGAGAGGTGACCTAGACCTTGACCCTGACCCCCACAGACCGGAGACCCCTGTGATCCTCCTGCCTGGTACCAACCACGGCATGAGTTTGGGGTGTGCCCTACAGGTCCCAGTTCAGACCTGCACGGCTTGTGTGCATTCTTAAATAGCAAACAACACGGGGTGGCTTCAAAGTTGACTTCCGTCTGATCTGGTCTCAAGCCTCAGCCCGCCCCTCAGGCTCCCCTGTGGCATGCTGGGGTCGTGAGTCCCTCCCTCCAACTGGGGTGTGGCTCACAGCTCTGCGCCTCCCTTGCTGCGCCCCCCGATGGTCATCTGGTAGTCACTGGTTCTCCTTTGGTGGGGTGCTGCAGGAACGCCCCTGACACGGCTCTTTGCAGCCATGTGTGGTGTCTCCCAGGGCAGTTCCCCAGTGGCCCCCTCCCCAGCTCCCCTTCTGAATCCAGTCAACCATGCACCCCGGCCCCTACTCACAGGGGACCAGTGTCCCTCTCATCCGCACCTGATGAGCACCTGCGTATCTCTCAGCTCAGGGACAAACTTCCTGCTCCCTGCCCCTGCCCTGGGGCCAGGCCCCACCCAGCACTCTGCAGGGGGCTGCCAGGTGTGGGACCAGGGGACTCTGGGCTCCTTCTTTCCCAGGTTATTGTCCTGTCTGAAGGCCTCTTGTCATGAGAGGAGAGTGACCCCAAACTGAGCCACCACTGCAAGAAGTTACAGATTCACAGCAGGATGGGGTTCCCCATCATGAACACAGGCCCCCTCTCCACCCACTCAGACCTCTCAGGCCTTTCAAGAAGCCCAACAGTGTTGTCCACAGAAGCTCACACATATTTTATTGAGTCTCCCCACCCCCTAGATGCTATATATAATTCTTTTTGTTAATGTCAAAGGGATCCTTTTCCACCTTTTATGTACTGTTTATTCCTACTGTATGGGAATGACGGACCGTGCGTAGAACAGGCCTGTGGTTCCACTCTCAGAGCTTACAGCATGGGGGTGACTACCTACTGTGGGTAGAATTGTATCTCCTAAAAAGATATGTTCAACTCCCAACCCCCGGTACTTGTGAATGTGACTTTATTTGGAAATAGGGTCTTTGCAGATGTGATTAGTTAAGATGAGTGGGAGGGCCCCTAATCCACTGATAAATGTCTTTTCAAGAAGAGGGGGATGTGGACACATCCCAAGGAGGTCACATGAAGACAGAGGCACAGACTGGAGTGATGCAGCCACAAGCCAAGAATTGCTAGGAGCCACCAGAAGCTGGAAGAGGCAGCAAGGAGCCACCCCTAGAGCCCTTGGAGGGAGCCTGGCCCTGCCTTGATAAACTTCTGGCCTCCAGAACTGAGACAGAATGAGTTTCTGTTGTTTTCAGGTACCAGTTTGTGGTGACTTGTTACAGCAGCCCTGGGACACTCACACTGTCCACTCGACACACACCGGCAGCCTCCTGCAAGGTGCTGGGCAGGGGAGCCTGGCCCTGGGGCAGGGGGAGGCAGGTGGTCCTGAGCTGAGGGATGAGCAGGTGCTGAGAGCCAAAACGCAGAGGGCAGGGGGACAGGGGTGGCCAAGGACCTGGGCCTCTTTCTGGGCCCTGCAGACTGCCACAAAGGGCTCTAAGCAGGGGATGGGTCCAGACTTGCATTTGGAAACCTTCAACATGCTCTGGTTTCCTACCCCTGCCTCCCCAAGAAAAGAAAATCTTCAGGGTTGCTGCTGGGGCTGTGGGAGCTTCATGCAATGTGGGTTGGGGACTCCTGTGGGGGGGGTGGGGCTGGAGAGGTGGCAGGAGACCCACAGTGGGGAGTGAGGCAGGGGCACTTCATATCTGAGGCCCTCCCCCTACCAGGGCCCACCCCCTCACCTCCACCCTTGGCGCAGGTGCTACCCGCCCCTGGGGCCTCTGCTCAGCACCTAAGAGAGCCTTCCTCCCTTGGGCAGCACCGGGCCGGGTGTACTTCCCAGCCTCTTGGTGACCCTGCAGGGCCACTCCATGGTGAGAAATCCCAGGCTCAACAGGGGTCCCAGCCTTGGCCAAAGCCACCCAGTGAATGGGGGTCCAGCCTGCAGGAGCTCAGAGCCCAAGCTCGGTCCCACTGAGCCCCAATCACTGGCCCAGGAATCCTGAGACCTGGGTTCTGGCCCTACTCTGCAGACCAGGCCTGGGTCTTGGGGACACCACTTCCCTTGTCTGGACCTCAGTGTCCCTGAACTAAATAGTCCCCCAGGCCCCTCTGGTGATTTCTAGGGCTCTGCCAGGCTTCCTGGTGGGCTCAGTTGGCTTGAGGCTAGGAGATGGAGGGTAGTGGGCTCTCTGCTCTCCCCTGTGGGCCCAGGGCCATGTCAACCTGGTTCTTCCACAAGGGAAAGTGGGGTGTGGGGATGGGGACAGGGGCAAGGGCATGTCTCCCCACTGGTGTCTCAAATGCGAGTGGGGACACAGGCCACAGGACTAGCAGAAAGGGGACCCTGCCCACTGGTGTAGGAGTAGAGAGGTGACACACGGGGCTGGAGCTGGCACGCTGCACCCCCCACCTGCTCCCAGGAGCACACCTCTCACTGCTCTTGTTTGGAGTATATTATAAAGCAAATGTATTTCACAGGCCTCCAAAGCCCTGTAGTCTCAGGTTTAGCCTAACTTTTAAAAATTACGTATAGAAATGTTAACCTTGCAAAAGACAGGAAACTTTCCCCAGGCTACAGGCTCTGTCGTAAGATAAAGAATTGTAACGTGGCAAGGTTGCTGGCTCAAGGACAGACAAGTTACTTGACTGATATGTAAAAATGTAAAAATGCTGGGGAAATTGCCGTAGGGAAAAAAGTGTTTGCTAAGACCAAGCTTTTGTTGGTGGATCGACTTAACCTTTTGCATATTGTATTATGGAATGTCACTTTGCTTGTTTGACTGATGTTACCAGCCTATATTGTAAACTATACTTAGCTAAAACCCCACCTATGTTCTTTTCCTGTAACTTCTCGGTCTGGAGAATAAATGTGGGGAGAGAACCCCAGTTCATGGTTAATTTCCAAAGGAAGGAACGCCTCTCTCTTAAGGGTTCTGAGAGATTAACTCTTCGGGGTCTCTCACTGCTCGTAAGAGATGGGCTTTAAGTAATCCTTTTTGCAGCTCTGTCACCCAGAGGTGACAAATCCGTGTGAGGCAAAGCAACACTCAGCCTCCTCCCCATCCCTGCTCTTCACACTGGCCCCCCACTCCTCCCACCAGCTCCCTACCCCTCACACCAGGTCCCCCACCCCCTCACACCAGGTCCCCCACCCCCTCATTCCTCACATGGGCCCCCCCATGATCCCCCTTCAAGGTGGGTGTGGGTCTGCCAGGTCACTTTCCCTAACCTGCCCCTGCTGGGCCCGACCTCTCCCTCTCTGGGGACCCCCAGCCTATCTGTGTCATGAGCATAGCCCATCTTGGAGGCTGGACGACCCTTCCAACATGCCACCACCAAAACCCAGGGCAAGCCCCTCCACCAAGAGGCCTGACCCCTGCTGCACAGGGGCCTGGGCTGGGTCGCCTGCAGGGCTCTGCCCCCAGGGCCTGCAGTCAGCATGGCCATGGGATCCGATGCCCTGACACAGGGTACTAGTTGCCCAGACCTGCCTGGTCAGGTGGTGCCAGCCCTGCGTGCCTTTGCCAGCCCTGGTGGGACTCAGGCTCCTTACAGGCAATGGGAGGGCAGGGGTGGGCCTGTGCTTGTCGTCCTCCCTCTCCAGCCTGAGCTGGTCATGGCCTGCCGGGGAGTGGGGCAGGGGCGAGGTGGCAGGCCAGGACTGGCTGCATTGGGGGGGCCACGCTGACCACNTGTGAGGCAAAGCAACACTCAGCCTCCTCCCCATCCCTGCTCTTCACACTGGCCCCCCACTCCTCCCACCAGCTCCCTGCCCCTCACACCAGGTCCCCCACCCCCTCACACCAGGTCCCCCACCCCCTCATTCCTCACATGGGCCCCCCCATGATCCCCCTTCAAGGTGGGTGTGGGTCTGCCAGGTCACTTTCCCTAACCTGCCCCTGCTGGGCCCGACCTCTCCCTCTCTGGGGACCCCCAGCCTATCTGTGTCATGAGCATAGCCCATCTTGGAGGCTGGACGACCCTTCCAACATGCCACCACCAAAACCCAGGGCAAGCCCCTCCACCAAGAGGCCTGACCCCTGCTGCACAGGGGCCTGGGCTGGGTCGCCTGCAGGGCTCTGCCCCCAGGGCCTGCAGTCAGCATGGCCATGGGATCCGATGCCCTGACACAGGGTACTAGTCGCCCAGACCTGCCTGGTCAGGTGGTGCCAGCCCTGTGTGCCTTTGCCAGCCCTTGTGGGACTCAGGCTCCTTACAGGCAATGGGAGGGCAGGGGTGGGCCTGTGCCTGTCGTCCTCCCTCTCCAGCCTGAGCTGGTCATGGCCTGCCCGGGAGTGGGGCAGGGGCGAGGTGGCAGGCCAGGACTGGCTGCATTGGGGTGGCCACGCTGACCACTGCACACACCACGCTTGCGTGCTCGGCCCCCACCTGAGGCGGCCCGTCCCAGCTGCCCGTTGTTTGTGTGGTCACTCAGGGTGAACCCCAAACCACAGACTGGGGGTGTCTGCATGGTGGCACACTCACCAGCAGCAGCCAGGCTCCTGGCTGCCCTGCTGCCTCTGAGCCTCACTGCACCAGGCCCGCCCCACGGCCTACACACAGGGTAGGGCGACTGGAGGCTTGGCCGGGGAGGGTGACGGGCTTCCATGGTGGCCGGTGGGGGAGCGGGGCCAGGCCACATGGGACGGCACAGCCTGAGGTCACTGAGCCTCCTCCTGAGCCATTTAGGGGCCTCGTCCTTCTGGGTCACTTGCCAGCCCAGGAGCAGGCAGGAAGGACTTCTCAGAAGGCACCTTCCTGGCAACACCTCCATAGGTGGTTACTGACCTCCAGACAAGGCCACAGTGCCTCACAGCCCTGCTCGATGGCGCGGATGGGGGAAGGTTTTATTCACACATGTGGACGTGGGCCAGGTGTTTGAAGACCATGGCTTGTTTCCCTCGATATTCCCCCACAGTCATGCACGGGACAGTTCCAGACTCTCCGGGGTTCTCGCTTGTCCCAGCCCCTTATAGGGGGCACCCCAAGGCAAGCCTCACACCCTGGTGTGGAGGAGGCTCCCGGCCCATGGTCACCTTGGATGGTGGCCCAAGACCTCCTCCCCCAGAGCCAGCTTCTCAGGGAAGACTTCCCAGGGGAGGGCATTTGGGCTGGGATTGGAAGGGCAAGAGGCCTCTGGCGGTCCTGGGCCACTGGGGAGAGGACACGCATCTCAGCCAAACAACAGGAGAGACAGCAGTGGATTCTGAGCGACTCCTGTCAGGGGACGCTGGGCAGCCCCCTCGTCTGCAGATGGGAGGACGGGCAGGACTCGGGTGGCACAAGGAGGAACAAAGCAAAACGTGGCCACCCCTCCACTCGGCTGGCTGCCTGCGCCTCTCTTCTGTGGCACCCCCATGCTGACTGTGCAGGAAAGGAGAAGCCAGGTGGCCTCCCCTCCACGACTGAGAGTCCCAGGAGGGACAGTGGGCCCTGGCTGCAGCTATACACCCCCTGTCCTTCCAAAGGTCCCACTGCAAAGCTCCAACGGTTCTAAAGGTTCTAAAGGTGAGTGGCTGTGTCCTGGAGCGGGCAGCTCCCTGTGCTGGGCAGTGGCCACCCAGCGCAGCAGGGCTCCCTCCTTGAGAGCCACTCAGAGCCCTGCAGGCACCACCCATGCCCTGGGCCCTTCCTTGCCCTCCCTGCCCTTAGTACTCCCTCCAGGGGACCCAGCTGGCTGTGAGGGGGGTCCAGGAACTAGCGGACCAGAGCTGGTCCTTCAGGGCTGGGTGGATCCCAGAGGCCGGCGGCCCCCACCCCATTTTCCACACCGGGTTCAGGGATGTACCCAGCAGGGAGGGGCATAGACCTTAGGTAACTGGCCCCCTCACTGCTGGTACAACCTCCTTCACCCTCTGGAAACAAAGGTGACTTAGGCCTCTCCCTGTACCCTGATGCCCCCGTGACGATTTCTGACTCATACTAGGACAGAGCAAACATGCTGCAGTCTTTGGGTGTCTCGACAGGGGCAGGCCAGCTCCGCCTGGGCGAATGGAGAACAGAGAAGCAAACAGCCCCACCCCCTCGCAGTGGCACAGGATAGTGGCTCCGGCTGCCCAGGAAGTGCCAGGCCTGGGGCCCCCAGAAGCCCAGGAGGAAATGGTGTGGGCAGTGGTTGGAACTCGGCCATCCCGCGACTGGCAAAAGCGGGGGAGAGTTATCCCAGTGTGGGCCTGTGAACAGCAAAACCATCAGGGCAGGGCAGCCCTACATCGTCTCCCAGGCTCCCCAGCCCCAGCAGGCCAGCTCTCCCTTCTTGGAGCCCTGGCCTGGGCACCCTGCCTGCTGGCATCCCCATCACAGGGACCCCTCACCCTTCCCCCCGCTGAGGTCTCCCCTGAACACAGAGGAACTGGAAGCCCCGGGGGGGTGGAAGCCCAGCACCCACCCAACCCACCACCTCTGCCCCCTGGACACTGCTGGGGGATCAGAGTCCAGTAGACATTGCCACAAGGGGTCTCCCAGGACACAGTGGCTACAGGCCACAGATTGGCCACTCAGGCCAGTTAGGACAGATGTCCCCTGCGACTCCAGCCTCTTCTGGTGTCCACTTGAGCACCTCCCTGCTAGGCAGGCCCCACTCCTATAGCCCAATCCAACTGGGCCAGGCCCAAGAATCTGTGTAATAAGCACCTAGAGAGTGTTGGTGACCAGCCAGGCTGGGAACCTTGAGATGACCCATCTCTCTCTGTGCTGGAGCCCAGATGAGGGCACAGACACCCTCCCTGCCTGTTGCTCCAATACTCTACCCTCCTCCACCCGTCTCCCGCCTTGCCCACGGACCCCTCCCCACAAAACCACGGGCTCAGTCAAGATCACACCTTCTCACACAGCGAGACTGCTCCAGAGCGTCCTCCCTGGGAGGCTTGTGCGCAGGGTGGGGGCTGCAGAGCCCCGGCAGCCCTTGGGGGAGGAGCACCGGCTAGGCCAGCTGCCAGGGCTGTGACCAGGCTCCCCTACTTCCCTGCTGAGCAACCTCGGCCACTTACTCAACCTGAGCCTCAGACGGGTTAACCAGGCACCCGCACCCACTGAGGTGAGGACTCAGCTAAGGAACACACAGCACTTGCTAGGGCCAGCACCAGCGCCAGAGAAGTGCTCGCAGGGCCCCAGCTCTTGAGGCAAGTTACAAGTCACCCAGACCTGCCCACAGGGGCCTCAGACCCTAGCATGGCTTCTATGTGAACAGTTACCAGTCCTGCCCCACCTGACTCTGAGCATTATGGCTGGTTTACGGTGGTGCAGGGTGGGGTGGGGGAACACAGCCTCAGCCCAGCCTCCGGCCGTCCTCAGGGAAGATTTTCCGGGTGGCAGGGACAGTCTGAGCTGTGCACTTAGGGCCTGCCTGAGCAGGGCTGGGGTGCCACACCACCTCCCACAGGTTCCCACCCCCACCCCCAGTACCCTGACTCTCCCAGTGTGTGAGAGGCAGCAACCCAGATAGCTGGCTGGAGAGTTTCTCTCCCTTTCCAGTCAGCAGAGGGCCAGGACAGAGGCTGCCACAGCCCACGGCCTGAAAACTGTCCACTGAGCCCTCCAGGACATCCTGTAGTGCAACCTCCCAAACATTCCACCCAAAACAACACGTGCTCAGACAGAGGCTGCCACAGCCCACGGCCTGAAAACTGTCCACTGAGCCCTCCAGGACATCCTGTTGTGCAACCTCCCAAACATTCCACCCAAAACAACACGTGCTTGCTCCAAAGGCCACCTGGGGGCATGGCTTCCCTGTGACGGAGTGGTTCACAGAGGCCAGCGGACAAGTGGACAAGCGTGTCTCTCTCCAATGCCTGCTAGTTGCTGTAGTGCCTGGCATGCCTGGGGGTGTGCAGGGAGCGAGCCCTGGAGGGCTCTGGTCAGCATCACCTGGCCAGTTGCCTGCAGCACAAGCCCTGGCTGAGGCCTCCCTCCCGCTCCACACAAGAGCAGAACAGGACAGCCGAGGGACAGTGTGCAGCCTGACGTCTGCAAGGCAAGGGGGCAGAGCACCACTGCGGACTCACCTGGGACTAGGAGCAGGAGACACCTCTGCTTAGCAGCCCCCACCTGAAAGCCCTGGGGGGCACGGGTGCACAGCACCTGGCATGAACACTGGGGCAGTCTGGCGGGTACTCCAGGAAACACCTGGGCTGCGGGCTACAGAGCGAGGCAAACAGAATGCCCCTCCTGGGCCGGCCCGGTGGCGCTCGGTAGAGTGCTGCGCTCCCACGGAGGGTTCGGATCCCATATAGAGACCGGTCCGCTCACTGGTTGAGCGCGGTGCGGACGCGACACCGAGGGTTGCGATCCCGTTGCCGGTCACGAAAAAAAAGACAAAAAGGAAAAAAAAAAAAGAATGCCCCTCCTTCTGACGCCCAGACGCAACGGGTCTCCACGGCTGGCTTCCCCAGTGCTCCGTCAGCGCCCCGCGGTCAGGAACTTCAGAGGGGAAGTGAGCAGAGGACAAACTGCCCGCTTGAGGTCCCCCAGCACTCCCTGCACTGGGAGGCCTCAGCTGCCTGTCGCTGAAGGTACAAAGGTACATCACACGGACACCCCGTCCCGAGGGTACAGAGGGAAGGCGAAGCTGGCAAAGGAGGCAGTACAGGAGCCAGAAACGAACAAGAGCGCCAGGGACAGGGCGGGGGCTGTCACCTGCCAAAGGAGGGGGCCTCGAGGGAGGGGGCGCCCTAGCTTCGGGAATGAGGACCCGGACTCTGGCTCCCACCGATTCCCGGGCGGCACAGCAGTGGCCCGGAAGCCTCCTCCTCTCCCCCACTGACCCCAATCAGGGGCGGGAGAGGAGCCGGGAACGGGGGGACGCAGGCTCTGGCCCTTCCACGGGGGCCTCAGTTTCCCCAGTGCTAAAGCCCCTGGGAGCGAGTGGAATATGGGAGGGAAGCCGCCGGGGAGTCCCTGAAGGGCCCGGGACGCGCCTCTGAGCGGAGGGCAGGAAAGGGCCGAGTCCGGGACCTGCGTCCCGGGGCCCCCCGCCCGCCGGCCCCC